ATTAATTAATTATTAACAATTAATATTATTTAATTAATTAAAAGTTGATTTTTAAAACATGTACATTGTGCTCTTAAACAAATCCATCAGCACTTTTACTTTTTAGAGGGAGTAAATATATTGATCACTGTCTTCCACATTTATTTCTTTTACCCTTACAGTTGGAAAACTTTTAATAAGTGTGGGTCCACAAATAGTGTACCGGTAGTACAGGGTATTCAATTTTTTTTTTTTTTGGGGGGGGGGGGGATATGTTCAACAAACAATGGTCCCCAATTTCTGATACTCTATCACATAACAAACAAGTAGACACATTAATTAGAGACCTACATGTATGTACTTTACAATTTAAATCAGTACATTGAGCATTTACGATGTACATGTATGACAATTAATTCAAGCATAAAAGCATTAACAGAGGCAGACACACATTCAATTGATTTTTACAAATTGATTTTTGTGTATGAGCATTATGCTCAAGCATAATTTGCACTACACAGTGGATTTGAGTTAATAATTGCAATGAACAATTTCATTGCAATACATAAGTGTACATATGTACAATGTACATCATGATCAAACATGATATGAACAACTCCAGTGCTGTGCCATACGTGTGTATAAGGTACCAATCGTGAATTGTACACATGTACAGTTCTTATAAATTCTTTCTTTCTTTTAACAAACTTCAAAGTCGATTTTTTATAGGGAGGATCACTACATGTACAATGTTAAAAGATGCCATGATATTCTAATAATTTTTGGGGGAAAAATGATACCAAATTGTTAACATGTCATTGTCAATTAAATAATGGAAGGTTTGCGGAAACACCATGTGCGAATAATTTCTCAACTAAGAGAATGGTTCTGAAAAGAACCAGAGGTATAAACTTGATGTTCCGGGTTAGGGTTTAGATGCATACTGACAGTCAGAGCATACTGACCGGAATGTCGAGTTTATACCTCTGGTTCTTTTCAGAACCATTCTCTTAGTTGAGAAATTATTCGCACATGGTGTTTCCGCAAACCTTTCATTATTTAGTATCTCCACCATGCAAAGCCTCAAATCTTACTCATTGTCAATTGTTTCCACACATGAACGTACATTACATTCATGAACATACACATTGTAAATGTATGCATTATGCATACTCTTTCATGTGTTCAGAGATGAAGACTTTAAAATATTAACACATGAAACATAAATTATACACAATAGAAGTAACATGAACAATTGGTGTGAAATTTGGTGTGAAAGATTTCTGAAAAAAAATATAGTATGCACACTTGAATAGCTTTGACATTTCAATCTAACATGTGTTCACAGGAAATCAACCATTTTTTCATTACAAAAAATAAAATCAATACATAAAATTATGATGCACAGATGCAAAAATGAGAATTTTTTAAAACGACACTATATGCTGGCGATCCAATACAGCAGCATCAAGTCGTAAACACACACGTCTGAAAATGACTGTCTGACCTTTATATCCAATAGGTAGAAGACAGATCAATATAATCAGCCTTAGCTTTGTAGGTTGTCGTTTTTGTCATCCCACATAAGCCGGCCAATGGAAAAGCAGTGAAGTGTTTTTGCCCGAAAATAGACCAAATTGCCAGCGACGAGGATAAGGAAAATTAGATTTGTTCCCACCGACGTGAGATACAAGGTTACAAAATAGATATTTGACGCACTGGGAGTGTAAACGGCCCTAGGTGGTGCTGCCTGTTTGTTTTGCAGATTTACGATAAAATCGCGACATTGTATAAAATGCCATGAGACATTTGTTCATTTTGTGAGGATATAAATTTCTGCATGACATTAGGATAAAAAAAATAGTTCTGCTTTTGGTTTCCCTACCTACCCTATTTTGACAGGGGGGAAATTAGGGGGAAAAAATAAAAACCATCAAATACTACATTTTACCATTGACTGTACACACACACAAAAATGCCAAAACAAAATATTCCCTACCTACCTACCCTACTTTCAAATGCCATGTAATTGGAAGCAGAAATATTTTTTTGGCTTTATTATTTCCAGATAAAAAAATAGATTTTGGTACCTTATGGGAGCAATATTTTTTTTTGTTACTGACTTTTGTTCCTCCAAGAAACTGTGCTTAAACAAATCACCAATGACTAAATTTGCAAAACAGGTTGTTTTGAACAATAACAGCTTTCAAAATCAAAGTTTCCCTCACATTTTTGGTAATGGGGCCCTGTGTATTAGTTGAGTGTATGTAGACCCTGGCACTACATGTAGTCGAGTATACACACATACAGGGGTGAGACGCACTGGCCACAATAATGGCGATTGTGATTTGAAGCACCCCATTCTTAAGAGAATAGAATTCCACTTTATATTACTGGACATAAATAGACTGGAGTGTTGAGGAAAGATTGTAAGATTTAGATTTTTAAGGGAAGTTATGGAAATCAATTTATAAGAAACAACAATTTGATGAAAACAATAATTAACACAACCTGCAAATGAAGATGGCAAATAATGCTGAATCTTGTTTGAAAGCATTTTGCAGATGGCTGATGAAAGTGACATTTTTATGACCCGATCTCTGATATGGGAGTAGGTATTATTAAATTCCAACAAAACTATGAATGAAGTTTTGAAGAACATCATTAATTTGCTGGGAATTTTTTTAACATACTGGCCTAGATTGTGAACATGAAGTGACAAAATAGTCCTGATTTTGATTTCGTCAAACATGCCATTTATTGTCAAAATCAACTCTTCCCCTTATATAAGGAGGAAGTCCAGTATTTGAGCCACATTTATGGGGCTAGGCGTGGGCGGGCTGACGTCATCCATTAAAAAAACATCTATATTCATTTGCAAACCAGTTTTCATCGGTTGCTATGTGTTACCACTTATGGGCCTATCAAATGTTTCCCTCATCAGAAAGTGATAATACATGTATAATATTATATCTGGGGTGTGAGTGACCACTGATAAAAATAGCTGAAAACAGCTGAAAAAGGTGTAAAAAAACTGACATTTAGAAATCTCCTATATACTTTTGTACACAGCAAGTGAGAGAAAAAGCTAGGAAAAAAGCTGAAATCCAAAACAAAAAAAAACTGAAATCAGCTTTAAAGCTGATTTCACACCCCTGTATATGTCCTAAAAAGTCAAATTTTGCAGGGAAAATATTGAAGCATTTACTGAGTAAACACTTTGAAATTTTCAGACCAGTCTAATAGGGTTTGTGCACAGGGTGCCAGGTGATGTCTAGTCTGAGTAACTTGGACCCAACTTATCGCCTTTTTAACATTTGGGCATGGTATGGCGATCCCATGTCCGAATGTTTAAAAAGCGATAAGTTGGGTCCAAGTTACTCGGACTACACTGTAGGTGATGTCAACGTATGGAAATCTTTCCCCTACGAAGGGAAACATACGATATGTCTGCGGTGTTCAAAAACTGCTGTACATTATGCCCCTAAACTCTGTCTGGTACTTCTTGACATACTCACGTTCCTGGTGCGTGACAAAACATGGGTCGAATCAGTACAGATACGCAAAAAAAAGATGAAAAAAATCGACCTAGTTGGCAAAGCATCCATCAGGAAACATCACGAGCACATATAATTGTGGCATCAGTTACATTCTTGGAAAAAATGTTGTAACCTGACGCCACTTCAGCGATTGTGTACAATTGAAAGTCTATGGTCGGAGAGTCAAAAGTATTTTCGTCTGGTGCGTTGTCGTGGAGAGCATTCTCGTTGTCTTGCTTTCCGCGACAACGCACCAGACAAAAATTGAACTCACTTGCGGCGCCTGAAAGCGGTGTGGTACCCATATACATCGCGCGCGCAGATTTTTTTCGATGTCATCACGTGATGCATACATTTACATAATTAGCAAAATAAAATGGACGACAGCCATTGGAACTGGCCTTTTTTTTTACGGACAAGCCACCGAAATCGTCAAGATTTTTCCACATTTTTTTGTGTGGTCTGTTTCAAGTCGATCATTAGGCTTCGTAAATGACTGCTGAATGTATGAGGTATGTAAATGAACTCTGGGGTGGGATATTAGAGGTAAAAATGAACAATTTTTGAGAGGCCATTTTTTTAGGGTCTCTTGCTAGGCCCTACCACATGCTAACGAACAGGTTATGCCTCCAGCGCTACATGTGAATGAATATGAGCATGTCAGCTGGAGTTACTCAAGCTAGTCTTATCATCATTTTTGCAACCATGACCTTCATTTAGATGATATATTATGAAGTAAAAAGTGGCGTCAGGTTGCAACATTTTTTCCACATTCTATTTCTTTCCCAAGAGGGGCCCCACTATATGCATGTGGGCTACATGAACACTACACATACATGACATAGCGCCGCCGATCATTGACACCCATGTGTGGGCGGGGCTACAGGTAAACAACACGGTGCACCATTGTGCACAGCACAGCCGGCCATACTTAACTTAGCTAGCTTTAATTTTTGTCAAACTTACACAGTGATGCACGCGTAGACCTACAACTAGTCACGGTATTACGGCTTAAAATACCACTTCATTTCCCAATATTCTTCAACTTACCGCCTTGAAAAAACAGTAAACTCAATCTACAACTTAAATGGCCCTTTATCAGGCCAGAAATCCGCTGGCATCTGTGCTCATCAACAGGATTTGTCAACACATCGATCGACTAACTGCATGCACAATCGAGCGGCGCGTCCAACACTCCTACTTTGCGCTGGTTCCCAAGCTAGCCACACGTTATCGTGTGAAGCTACAGGGCGCCAGTCATAATTATCAGCAGGCAGTCCTTTTTCTCTTGGGTTCCAAAACATTTGTACCACCGGTTTTTCCCATTTTTTTAAATTTGCTTTCTGGTCACTTTTTCCCAGATAAAACATCAAAAAACACCTCTTAATGTGAAAGACATATTTTTATGAACAGTTTGAGGTACAATACAAAGCTCTTTCTTTGGGAAAAATAAACATTGTGTTATTTTACATCCACGATTTTGTTGTGCGATTTGCACTCCATACAAAAAACACTGAACTACATCTAGTGAGTACGGTATAGTATGTTTCAGCACGATCTGCTCACTCACTTAACTTGCAGTTGCATGTAATTTCCCGCGAAACATTCGGGACGTAGACCCAATTTGGCTCATCTTTTCAGCGCATTCACAGGTTTGTATGTATGAACGATGAGCATATGCATCTATTTGGATATTTGAAGAAGGAAACAGTGCATTTACGTGCATATTACCTGGACTATCTGCAGTTTTTCATTGGAGTTCAGTTGCAGAAGTTGAACTAGTTTTTGGCTGCAGCCGCAAGCAGTGGCAAGTGCAGCTGCCTGCGGCCGAAGCAGCCAGCAGCCAGTTACAGCCGCCGCGGCTATCGTTACGGCAGCCGTAATGCAATTTCAACTTCTATCGTTACGGCATTGCAAAACACCATTGCAAGTCTATAGGCCCTAGGCCCTATCATATTTAAAACTGCCCGTCGCTTCCGTCATGTCCGTAGCTCAAACGTTCGACCTAGGCCCTATAGTCTGCTGAAGATTCCAAGATCGAACCCGCGCTGTGCAGTTTTTTATTTATTTATTTATTTTTTAAGTAGGGCCTAGTTTTCTTCAATATTATTATATTTTTAATCAAATCGTTCTTTTAATTAAAATTTAAGTAGATTTCAATTTTCATTTTTCTTTGTTGGCTAATCACTGAATCAGTCATTGTCAGTGGAGGATTTGTTTGGAAATAAATTCCGACATGTCCGAGAACCATCACTGACCATTCGGTTGATAGTCTCAACTTGGCTGGTTCCTATCAGCCAAAAATCCTGACGTTGAATACTATTAGGTCAGGGAACCAGACGGTTGACTGCCATGGCATAACGATAACAGTTGAAAATCACGTTGCAGCTGCTGTAACGATAGCCACTGTGATTATTTTATCAATAGGATGTATATGCCAATGCCAAAGGAACATGGGTTGAATCTCGGTGAATATTTCAATATTTACACCTCGGTAAACTTCTATTTTCTATGTCATGTTTGTAAACCAGTCTCATCATTGAACTCAAGATTGTTCATTCTTCCGTACTGAAAAGGAGCAGACATGGCAGAGCAGGATACTGTGATTAACACTTTGCATTTTAATGCCATTCAGTTCTAGATCTGTTGCTAGACCAAAGTAGACCATGGCAGGCAGAAATTTCAAGCCGGGAGACAAAGTGTTTGCCAAGATGAAAGGATGGCCTCACTGGCCTGCCAGGGTAAGGCTCAATCCAAGCACCCTCCTATATGCCTCTCCCTTCCTCCACACGCTTGTCATCCCCTCCCCGCCTCCTCACCCCCTTACATGTACCGTCTCCCGACCCGACCCCTACCCCCTCCCATGTGTGGTCTGCTGCTACTAATGGCTTGTAGTTGTACCATTTTTAATAATTTCCTGAAATGGTTTTGTGTATCCAGAAGTTTTACTCGTAGAGCAGCAAAAGAGTCCAGAAAATTGAAGAATCAATCTGCTATCTTGGAGGAAAAAAACACTCGCCTCCTTCATTCTTTTAAAAAGCCCGGATGAGAAACTTTTTTTTTTTCTGTTGCTCGGCCTTAGTAGATGCATGAGAAGGCAGTCATTAAGTGATTTAAGGGAATAGGCTTACTATTGGCGTAAAATATTCCAACATAGTAAAGATACCTTGATTGTAAACACAGCCACGAAGATTGGGCTCAGTTTGATTTTCACATCAGATTGAATCAGGCACTGCATCATTGCATGAGACTGCCGAGTTAACAAGGTATCTGTTAAATGTTCTCATATCTCTCTCCCTCTTGTCTTCAGATTGACATGGTACCCGAAGGTGCTGTCAAACCACCTCCAAATAAACTCCCCATCTTCTTCTATGGAACGCATGAGACGTAAGTGCCTCTTCACCTCATTCTAAGCTTCTGGGGCATTCAGAATTTGCAGATAAAAAAACAACAATATTTCTGGGGGAAATGTCTGTACTGTTGCTCTTGTCAAATAAAACAACAAAGACAGAGACACACTAATCAGGATCACTTTTTAATCACCATAAACTTGAACAAAGAAATTGACTTGAATTTGTTTTCAACCTGCAACCACAGAACACTTGACCCAACCACTATCACACCTAGATTTCCAGACTTATGATGACGTAACTTGGCAATCTCCCAATTTTCTCCTTTTTTTTGGCCATGTTATTTTTGCATGTTATTTGGCCAACGTTAAATAGTATGTGTCAACACTTTTGAACCGTTCATATTTCAAGAGGTAGAGATGCAGTGCAGAAGAGAACCATTTGCTGAAAGTTGGCGCCATGTGATCACAACATCTAATTTGTAAACAAATGTCACATTGTCTATATTAACTGGAGATGTCAAAAGTCAGCTGTAAAAAGCAAAGCATTGTGACTCCTCAAACTGCATGGTTTTTAACGTACTTGATAATTTTTTCCTAATTTTTTCTTCATTTGTCTTTTCCATTCTGTTGGGTTTTTTTTTCCTGCAGTGCATTCATGTTGCCCAAGGACCTGTTCCCATATGAGGAGTACAAACACAAGTATGGTCAAACTCACAAGAAGCACAAAGCATTCAACTTTGGGTTAGAGGAGATCATTGACAATCCTGATGTTAATCTTTACGCGCAGGTAAAACCCCAAAAACTGTTGAATATTCTTCTTGAGATCTTGGTGTGGGTCTATTGCTTTTAATGTGCCAGAGCTCATATTCACAGAGATCAGAATCACAGCGATACCTTAGAACTTATAAAATCTAAAAAAAACCTGCATTTCAACTTGGGAGCCTATTTGATTGTTAAAGTATTTAGTAACCTATATAACCTATAAAAACCCATATTTTTATTCTGACATACATTTCAACAATTTTTTTCCAGACATTTTACCACAGTTTAGTAAATAATTCCAAAATAACCACATTGTCTATAAAGGCCTACCTCTAAGATATTTTGTACAAGTGCTTCAGAATTTGGCAGTTTGCATGCAATTGATTATTATCTAGTGTGAAGAACTTGATGTAAGCAATTCACTATATTTCTGCTACCTCATGCTGAAAATGTGCACAGTCTTGCTTCCTAAAAACCTGTAAATGCCTACATTTTGGAGCTTGGAAAACCTTTACAACCTAAATTTTGATTTTCACACCTAGTTTAAAAACCTATATTAATCGGTCACATTAATGTCAAACGTCAACATCAAATTCCTATTTCTACTTTTTGTTTTAAATTAATTTGTTACTATAGCAACCACCTTCCACCTCGGAAGAAGAAATAGAAGAAGAAGAAGAAGAAGAAGAAGTAGGAGAAGCGGAGCCAGAATCATCCGAGGAGGAAGAGGAGGAGGAGGAACCCCTGGCCAAGAAAATCAAACCCAAGGAGAAAACTGCCTCAGCAAAGAAACGGAAAAAGAGTGTAGACACCGCAAAGGTAGAATACAGCGGGCTCGGTCGAAATTGTCATTACTGATACCAGCAACCCTCCAATTTCAATTCAGGAATACACACTTACACGTGGAACTAGTACAAACCACATTTGTACAAATTTTGAAACAATTAATATGACATTAGTATGCCCTCACACCTTTGAGTAATTGTAATACCTTCTTATCCCAGAAATCCTCCAAGAAGAAGAAGGCTTTGTCTAGCGATGAGGCAGAGACAGATTACGAAGAGCTGTCAGAGGAGGAGGAGGTTGAGGAAGCAGATGAAAGTGATGTAAGTAACACATTGGGTTCGTGAACACTCGTAAAGATGATAGCGAGAGAGTTCAGCAGGCACTTTGACCATTTACGAACCATCATGTCATGTTGTGTCAAAACATGTACAATTGTATTTGTCACTTTGTGGTGAATCCAACGATTTGAATGCCATTACCCCTCTGCCCCTGGTGCTGATACAAACAAATCATGGATTTGTGCACATTCAAATGAAAAACAGGTGTGCGTACTTTGAGTCCTGCACGCGTGAACCAGAGTGGTGGTCATGTAGTGTCGTCTACTATCCATGCTCAGAGTCTGTTGTCCTAGCATTTTTGTTTCGCGACATGCTCCTCTGAATGGACCAAACCACTGACCAGGTAGAACCTTGTAAGTGTTAGGCTTTGCCATTCACAAACGTAATGCTCCCTTTGGAGAGTTTGATAGTTATAAAAAAAAATCACAAGCTTACTTTGCTTGGTCTTGACGTTAAGTCAGTGAAGGGAAAAAAACAGATTAAAATTTTATCACATTGACAGTTTATAAACCTGCAACAAAAATTGCCAATACCTTGCAATGAAATGCTACGAATTTCAGGTATGATAGCATTCAAACCAACTTGATTTCAGTTTTGAAAATTAAGATGTAACTTCTCAGTGTAAGAGGGTTAATCTTCTTTCTGTAAATTTTTGATCAGGAGTTTGTTCCAGAGAAGCCAAGCAGTGGCAGAAGCAAAAAGAAGGACTCCAAGAGGTCCAAGCCAAGGGAAAGAAAGAAGTCCAGAGCAAGGAGTAGCTCGAGCAGCGAGGAGGACCAAGATGAGGCGGGCCAGTCAGAGGAGGAGAAGGCGGCATCCAGTAGCGACAGCGAAAGTGATGATGAGCCAGTGGTCAAGAAACCCAAGAAGGAGAGGGTGAAAAAAGAATCTGTCAAGAAACCCAGAACCAAAGGTGAGACATTGAGCAAATTCGGGGCGAAGTCCATTAGTGATTGGGAGATTCATGACATAACTTACGCCTGAGCATGAATAGCAACGTGCAGACACCTCTAGTGAAACATTGAGCTCTGTGCGCTACCAAAAGAGGGCGCCCTTTTACCTAGCAACGACGTCCCATGGGCGGTACATTTCGCTGGTTGACGCGCACCGTTCCTTGTGTGTGACGCGCGTACACCAGGGGATTTGTTCTATGTACACGCAGTGGCCGCGCACCCCCAACTGTACTTCCTTTGCCAGTGAGGGGGTACTTGTGAACGGAGCGGATAGTCATGTTACAAGCTCAATATTGATTATGCTCGTTCATTTTTGACTCATCACTTTTTGGATCTGATTTCAACGTATGTGTGAGGATGTAGTGAATTTGGAAAGGTCATAATTCTGAATAGCGTTAACTCTGTTTTATTGAGTGTCTTTGAGTTCTGACTTTTTGAGTTATGAATTTTCGTACTAAAGCAGAGAAAAAGCCAAGAGCACCCAGAACCAAGAAAAAATCCCCAAGCGTGCCAGCTCCGAAGAAAGAACTTAGCATCAGCTTAAGCAGGTAAGTTTAATTACGCTTCTGTGCTTTGCTGAGACAGCTGTAACGCTAAAACTTGGCATTAATTAAAATTCTGATGTGCAGAAGAGATTTCCAGGGTGTTGACATCTTTGCAAAAGTATGATTTCCATATAGGATATAACTTTTGTCATTATATATCAAGTTTGATGTGTTTTTACAGGCGTTGGAGAAGTTTACGATTTGTGTATCTGGTGGTTTTAAAAGGACCGGGGGTGTTAACGCCATTATAAGTGGAAATGCCTGAATTCTTTTAACTAAATTTTCTCTAGGGAGTTAAGATACTAATGATGGTCTGAGCATATTGACTGATATGTTAAACCTCTGTTTCTCAGGACCGCCTCACTGTTCAGAGACGGTCACTTCACATTCTTCCAGGCTGTTTTCTCCCCATGCAAAACCTGAAGCAACAAAGCCTTGTTTGAATTTTACAGCTCAGACTCCTCATCAGACGACAGCGACTATGTTTCCAAGTGGCGTAAGCAGGAAGAGGCCCGCCGGGCCAAGATTGAGGAGGAGAAGAAGAAGAAGCAAGAGGAGCAGTATCGCCTGATGCGGGAGAAGGAACGCCTCCAAGAGGAGATGGAACGGCTGGAGAAGGCTCAGAAGAAGAAGAAAAAGAAAAAGCGCAGCTCCTCAGAGTCCAAGGATAAGCACGTCGAGAGCGAGGATGAGGAACGACGGCTTGTGGACAGCGATGACGACAGCGACCATCTTGTCATTGACGAGACACCGCTGACCATCAAACCTAAGCGGGAGACGAAGAAAAAAGCGAAGAACAATGAGGCACCTGCGAAAGTAGTAAAGGAGGAGCAGGTGGTACCCAGGACAGTAGAGGATGAGGATGAAGAGGAGGAGGATGAGGTGGATAAACCGAGCGTGGAGGGGTCCAAGACAGATCCAGCTGATCGGAAAGCAGAAAAGCTCAAGAAGAAAGAGGACAAGGACAAGAAAAGGTAGGGAATGTGTTTCAAATTTTTGTGTTTGGGTGTGTATTTGTTTTTGCTTTTGATTTTTTATGCTATAGTTTTTAATTTATGATGCAGGAATATTATAATATAGCTAGCAAGGGATTATGCAATTAAAGGTAGAGATCAGTGAGTCAGTGCAATTATAAGTTGGGACTTTGCCAAAAGTTGTGCCCTTTCACACGATTTTGTTTCCTCACAAGGGGTTATTCATTACATTTATTAATGACGTGTGTGACAGGCAAGAGAAAGAGCGGAAGAAGCAGGAGGAGAAAGAGCGCAAGAAAGAGGAGAAGCTGAAGAAGAAGTTGGAGGAGAAGAAAAAGGAGTTGGAAGCCAAGAAGAGGAGGGAGGAGGAGCGACGACGGCGGGAGGAGGAAGAGGCACAGCGGCAGAAAGAGGCCAAGAAAAGACGAGAAGAGGCAAGGAAACGACAGGAAGAGGAGCAGAGACAGATGGAAGAGCAGGTCAGTCACAGTTGCTTCTTATTGAGGGTGTTGTTTAGTCTAATCAGGAGATGCTCTTGATTTTCACAGATGCAACCACAAATTGTTCATGCTCGGGGAAGTGAAACTAGGCGATCAAACATAACCAAAAATTGTCTGTAGTCCTGGTGGCTTAGGTTTCTGACATTGTGACAGAATGCTGATGTAATCCCAATCACATTGCCTGTGTCCTTGTGCAAGGTACTTTTTCACAATTTCTACCCCCAATGATAAGAGAACCCAGAGTCTTGTGTATCATTCAGTGTTTTTAGTAACACTGCGAACATTTTAGTCTCTGTATCTTTTCAAATAGCATCAGTGTTTATCGGAGCATAATTATTACACCTTTTTCAAATGGTATCTCTAAATAAAATCCTTTTCTTTATCCTCTTTTCCACAGCAAAGGAAAGAAGAGGAAATGAAACCAGCAGCCATGGAGCAGAGCAATGACAAGGAGTAAGATAAAAATAGCCTAGCTACCCCCCCCCCCCCCCAAAAAAAAATGTGGAATAGAATGATAGAAATAAAGCTTGATAGCATGGAGAGTTGAGCAGTTATTAAGAACAAGAGCAGAGTAAACTTTAGGTTAACATCTTACAATGGTTCATAATAAAAACTACTGTTTAGAAAGAAATGTGTACAGTTGCAGCCAATTTATTCGCGCTGCTCTTATTTAGTACACAGTGCTGCTAAGATGGACGATTTTCCAGTTTTGATCAAAGCGCAATTTCTTTCACATTTCTGTAGGATATCTAAACCGGACAAGCTGGAGAGGAAAAGACCGGAAAAGAAGAAAGGTAGGCCTGAGTAATCTGAAATTGTATGTGTGGTTACTTAAGCTCCAGGTTTACCTCCAGGTTTACCTCCAGGTTTGCCTCCAGGTTTGCCTCCAGGTTTGCCTCCAGGTTTACCTCCAGGTTTACCTCCAGGTTTACCTCCAGGTTTACCTCCAGGTTTACCTCCAGGTTTACCTCCAGGTTTGCCTCCAGGTTTGCCTCCAGGTTTGCCCCAAGGTTTGCCTCCAGGTTTACCTCCAGGTTTACCTCCAGGTTTACCTCCAGGTTTACCTCCAGGTTTGCCTCCAGGTTTGCCTCCAGGTTTGCCTCCAGGTTTGCCTCCAGGTTTACCTCCAGGTTTACCTCCAGGTTTGCCTCCAGGTTTGCCTCCAGGTTTACCTCCAGGTTTACCTCCAGGTTTACCTCCAGGTTTACCTCCAGGTTTACCGCCAGGTTTTACTCCAGGTTTTACTCCAGGTTTTACGAGGCTTTCGGTGCACCTTAGGGTTAAGCCTTGACTTACTGCTTCTTATAATTTTGCATTCTCTCCAAATAAAGATCCACGGAAGTTACTGTAGATGCATGTTTAATTTAAAAGAATTTAAAATCTGTAGGAAAAATAAAGAGAAAGGTTTTTGGTTTTCAAATGCCAAATATTGAGGACCTTAGAATAACTGTTCAAAATTCATTCTTGTCATTTTTTATTTATACTGTTTGACCCTCATTGTTATCTTGGTATGTATCCGCCAGTGATGACTAACACCTTTTGTAATGGTAGTCATAGTTTTGTTTGTTTGTTGTTTCCACTCTAGGACTTAGTAAATTGGAAGAGACGGTTGAAAGATTGCATCTAGAGCTCAAAGTCTCTTTAAGTATGGATCACCCGGTAAGTAGCAACTTCCAATATATACAATGTATAGAACTAGACGTGAGCATGCACGTACAGTCGTGTTTTACTATACGCCTGAGGACAACCTATTGTGTTTCCCTTTGTCCCTGTACTTTAACTCTTTCCCGTAGACTAAGCACGTAAACGTACGATCGAGGACAGTTTCGAACAAAAGCACCATCGTTCGAGGACTGAAAGGATCTTTTGTTCTCCCTTTGTGTGTCTGTCCTCGAGCGTAATACAAGACAGGAACGCACACTTTTACACATGTATAGTGTGCAGAACCTGTTATCTAAATTTTGTCTAAATGTGCACCGATTTGTGGCAGCTATGTAGTTCACTGGGAATTGTAGCATAGTGTGCTATGTGCTTGCGATCGAATTGAGCTGACATATATTAGTGATCAACCACAGGCATTGACTCGTATGCAGGCTAGACAGCCAATCATGTCATATTGTTCCCACGCAACTTGTCCAATGAGGGTTCATTAAAAATCAGCCTGTACCAACCACCTCATTTTTGTGCAAGGTGAGTATGAGCAAAATGCTATCTTTGCTTGTCTCCTTAGGATCCAGCCAAGAGCTTGGCAGTGATGGCTCAAATTGATGACCTCGGCGGAACGTTGACACCAGGCGTCTTAAGGAAAAGCAAAGACTTCGTTCAGACAATTAAGAAGGTAACACGCAGGGTCTAAATTTAACCCTCAAGCATCCGTGATTTCACCTTTAAGTACGTAGATAATTTCTTGTGGAACCTAGATGTCATTCTAGACGCAGCCAACATTTAGCCTTGTGGTACCCAGATGTACACAGGCTTTAACCATTGTGGTACCTAGGTGTACCCAGTTATGAGCAAACCTTATTTTCCTTCATCCTTACTGATGCCTAGTCACGTGAACTGTAAAACTAGTCGACTTTAGGAATGCTGTACTAACAAAAACCATAATCTTTTCCATTGGTGGATTCCTTTTCAGGTCAGAAAGTATAAACCGGATGAGAAAGTTCGCAAGAAGGCTGAATATCTCTACAACAAGCTGAAGTCTATCTGTCTCATGCAAGAAACAACTGGTGGCGTTGAAGAGAAGAAACACATAACGGAACAAACTGGTAAATTGACAAAAATACTCCCATGTTTAATACTGCTCCCTTCTCAATGATCTCAGACAAGAACAGCAGAACAGGGCATCATCCTCTTTCAGCGGCAGCTCAGAACATCTGACTGGCCTTCCCATCCCAACTATAGCATTGAGATTTGTCTTGTCCATCTTGACTGGCACTTTGGATGTTTTACTGATAAAGTGTGCTGCTTAGTATTATTATTGTTATTACAATTTTCCTTTTGGTGTTTAGTTTAAAGCCGTGTTTATTTAACTATCACTGCAGACACAGCCACTTATTCTGAAGTAGAAATGAAAAAAAAGGACAGAACAAACTTACCATGGTCGGGTGAAAGTAACCGCACTATCATCCCAATGAAAAAGAGCTTTAATGTAGGTAATGTTAAAAGTCTTCTAAATTTTTGGTCTAACAAAGTTTCACCATGATTTAGGTTTCCGTATTTACAAGTTTTGACATACATTCACAAATTCTGTTTCCTCCTTCAAAATTTGAAATAAAAACTGCAGACATAACAGCAGCAGAAGACAACACAGGAGGAGATATGAAGCCTGTCGTTGAGCCAAGAATACAAGAAAACGGAACTCCGGAGGATGAACCCAGTAAAACCAATGTGGAGGATCAGGTGACGGCTAATGCTGACACTAAGGCAACGGCCAATACTCCAACAGAAGAGGCGTTCAGTGCCCTGGCAGACCCTCCAGTGGAACTCCCCAAAGCAGAAGACTCGGAGCATCTTGGAGCAAAGGAACTGCCAGAGGAACCAATTGAGGAGCCAAAAGAGGAATCGGTTCCAGAACCTGAGCCAGTTAGAACTGAAGATGAGACGGACAATAAGAGAACAGTTGGAGATGACGTGAGACCCAAGGATGTTGAGAACAAGGAGGAGGATGCCTTTGCTGTGAAAGATGAGGTGGAGGAGGGGGAAGTGGAGGAGGGGGAAGTGGGGGAGGCAGACGAAGAAGACGATGAGGAAGGAGAAGGCAGGAGAGACCTCTCAGAGAGGCTAGAGAAGATCTTTGGCAGCCAGGGAGGCTTCCAGATACCAGGGCTGGTCATGGACGGAGGTGAGGAGAAACCCAAGGGGTCTGGGGAGAAGAGGAGAGAGCAGAAACGAGACAGGAGGAGGTCAACAGGGATGTCTGGAGATCAGATCGGCGAGCAGCCCATGGATCTAGATGAAGATACGGAAGAAGGCAACAACTCTAAGGGGTAAGTTTGCATATTCACCAATGTGTACTTGCCGTTGTAAAGATAAGCATTTTTACTATTAGACTCTGCCCCCCAAAAAAATGTTTACTTCTTAATTTTTGCTGGTCCCAGAGGGGCCAGCCTAGTGTCGTCTTGTACTTCAATGACTGATTCACTTTCATTTGTGAGCGGGGCAGTGCTATTTTATAGGATTACCCCCATTACGCCAACATATGGGCTAAATCAGGCCCACATTTTTTGTGTGTAGATTTTGTGGTTGTAAAGTATCTAAATATGATTTTAAAATGAGTTTTTCTTTTTTATTTGATTGTTTCTTTGTTCAGTGAAAACACAGCGACAGACCAGGCTTTCAGTGATGATAACATGGATCTCGATTCTGATGAGAACTGAACTGGTGTTAGAGTTGAGAATAGTGTAGGCCCTGTTGACAACTAAAAAAAAACTACCATTGAGCACTATTTTTTGGGAGCTCGCTGGGCAGTAACACGATGAGGAACAGATACAATATGGCCTCCGAATGAGTTGCGTGTTTAGGCATCATGGAATGGCGTGTTCAGCCATAGAAATGGAATGTTCGGCATCATTTTGCAATGACAACATTTGGATGCTGCAACCGAAATGTCTTCACCAACTTGCCATCGGGACGCGTCAACTCTTGAACTGAATGCTGTTTCCCGGATGTTAATCTTTCATCTAACGGCGGTTGTCTTCACATGTTCATTTGTCAGAAGCACTCCATGTTGTTGAACAATACAGTGGAACGGTGGCTTATTTGTACAAGGACTGCTTTTTTTTTTTTATTATGAAATTTAAATTTTAGAATTTTTTTATGTTGTACATGTACTTGGTGTTTTCTTTTTGTTTCCTTTAAAATTTAAAATGTCAAATTCTTCACTTGAAATTTCAATGGCCAAAATTCCTTTTGGTCGGTTGAAGTTACATTGCTACTTTTTCTCTGAAAGCTAAACTGAAATTACATTTTTAGGGTAAGAGAAAGCCGTTCACATTGTTCAGTTGCCCTGCAACATCTGTGGCTGGAATTTAAAAATGCACCTGTTGGTGGTGGGAGAAATCAGAGATTTCAAAATCCGGTTATCCTAAAATATTTCAAACCGAGTAACAGTTATCCGATTTCACTGGAACGTTCCATTCAGCTCACAGTCATGCCCGCAAAAAAAAAAGGATGAGTTAGATGCCGCATGCAATGCGCTCCAGAGCTGTAATGGTGAAAAAAATGGGCGGGAACTCTCTGATCAGTCAAACGGGCAGGCTATTCATGTACCAAGAAGACCACTAGCGAGTGAATGCAGTTACAATCAGAGACCATGGAGCAAATTGGGATAGTTCCAGTTGTATTCTTTCGCCCGTGTCATAAAAAAGTGTTAAGGCTTAATTTTTTTTTAATTTTGGTTTTTAAAATCCAAATCGAATACACGTGGTGGAAATTAAACCGAATTTTTAAAAATCCGGATATTAATTAACCCTAACAGAACTCAACCCATCAAACCCAAACGACATGTTTTTTTAAAAATCTGTCAGGATGGATACAGTACCCCTAAACTGACAGTCTTTTACATTGGGTTGGCACACCTGATCTAAGTCAGAAATATGTGTGCGTGCAGTTTCCCATATGGTGTTTGAATTTGCCAGGATGGGTATGGCTCCTACTAAATCATGCTGGGGAGTTAGGGTTAATCCCTCCACTAGTACATGTTCTCAACAAATGCGTCGGCTTTGTAATTGGAACCGAGGATAGGTTTGTGTCCATGAACTGCCATCCCGCCAAACAAGTCACAAGATTGACATAAGTCACAAGATTTGTATTCAATTAAAAAAGAAAGATATCAGTTTGTGTTAAATGAAATGAAATATTAGTGATCTGAAATTCAACAAATTCAATGATGTGACTAATATCAAAACTTTCATCATTTTTATATAGTCGTTTGGTTTGGCAAGGGTCGATTTTACAGAGCTTCTTAGCTCACACATTTGCTAAGCAAAACTCGGGTCACCGGCCAAAGTGTTGTGTGATGGCCATTGCTTGTCACTGGTACTGGGCTACTGTTTTCTTAGCATGCAGATACACATGGGTCCTATGTTTGAGATCAAAGGAGTGAGTGCGTCATTTTAGTAGCGAGGCTTTATATCTCGACATCGATGCCATACTACACAGTAGCCCATCTAGTCCATGTCCGCTTGAACCGTTTGCCATTCACACATGTGAATTACTGAACATGTGCCAATCACAAGTCAACCTGTTTTATATCCCTTTAGTTTTCTTATGGTCTTTGCCAGTTACATGTATCTCATTTTTCTTGTAAAGATTTGTGGGGGCAGAATACTCGTGTAAATAATTGAATAATACCTTTTTTTGGCATATTTACCTGAATTGGATATAAATTATTCAGAATGGCTCATTGAAAGTTAAACTTTGGCATGGAATTTCAAAAAGGAGAATTAAACCATTAAAGAATGAAGAAATTGTGACCACTTTGTTATCATTGTAAAGTTGTTCGCATTATAAAGCAATCACTGTACGTCATGTCTTACTGCAGTTCCGTATTCTTTCAGTCGCATGGAAAAGTTGCCAACTAGTCGCATCAATCAATCTTGCAACTTTCACAGACCTCAAATAAAAAAAGAAACACTTCATCGATTCATAAATAAAATACAATTTTATTTAACAAGTAGAAAAGATGATTTCAGACGACTTTAACATCAATGATGTGCAACCCTTGAGATATAGGAAATAATCTCTAGGAAATTGTCACGAATGGCAACTTTCCAATTTGTATGCATAATATTTTGATCAACAACAAACATTCCTAACAATGATTTGTAAATGTCCAATGGAATGAAAAGGAGGGCGCACAACTTTTGTTGTGAGAGCATTGCCCTATTGAAGACACTAGAGGGCAGTATTGTCATATAACTGCCTCGGTCTTGAATGACTCTTGATACATCATTGAATGATGGAAGCACCTTTAAAGGAAAGCACTATATCCTCAAAGTCTGAAACGTTCGCAAAGTTTTTAAAAAATTTAAATTTTCCAAAATTTCTGAGACGTGCACCTCCTGATGTTCACGTCTCTGTCTTTTTGTTACTGGACAAGCTAAGAAGCGCTGTGATCGTTGACTCGGCGACCCTGTTGACGGCCTCTTCCCGGTTGTCTGGTTCCTGCCTCTCTGTCTTCACTACAGGTTGGCCATTCTCACTGGCCGGCCTTGCGGATTGGACGCAGCGTCGCGCGTCCAGAGCATAGTTCTGCGCAACCCGCAAGCCCTCGTCCATTAATGTATGCTGTATGAACAAACTCTGCGCAAGGTCCGAGTTGTCCAGTATCTTCGGTGGCTGCTTGTCCGATGGGGTTCTAGCGCCCTCTATAGCTGGTGAATCTGATTGCACTGTGGAGACTGACCTCTGTACCCAATCTGAAAACACAAAAGAATCAATACTACAAAATGCTAGGTACACTTTTCACACACAAAATTATGCCATTGACGGATGGTACAGTTAGTACATTGTAATAGGAAGAGCAGTTTTGGGTTCTTCAGTGACAAAAGGGCTATAACCTTTCAATCTAGTTGACTTCAACAAGTCCACTTCACCGTCACAACTTGTACATTTTGGTAGTCTGGTTCCTCTATCATACAAGGTTTACAATGATATGCTTTATCTATTAGAAACCAGACAGAGGGCTGTGAAGGTATCATCCTTGCTTGTGAAGGTATCATCGTGTGCTTCGAGTTGTGCACATTCATTATGTACTGTATTTTAGAGGATGCATTATAAAGGCATGCAAGAAAGAAGAAACAGTCCCACACCCACCATTTGAGCTTACCAGGATCGGTCAGGTGGTCATCTGGTGTGGCCTCAGGACTTGACCTATCGGCTGGGTCCCCGTTCTCTTCCTCTGCCCGTGCCTTGGCCACGTAGTATCTGTCAATATTAGAGGGAACAAACCAATAGACCAATCAAATTTGTTGCCAAGCTGAGGCTCTCAGTGCTAATTACTATTGTAAGACATTGGGGACATTTTCTTGCTGCATCTTAACAAAAGAATCACTAAAGCTCTTGGTTTCCAATGCTTTTTAGAAATTTGGGAATCATGGCTTTTTTGTAGAACAAGATCGGCAATGGACTCCATGCTAGAACACTAGATGGCACCTTTAGACATTCCCAAAAGCTATGTGTGTGTGGGACACACTGCATGCATGCTTGAATCCTTACAGATTGGATTTGTAAGGTACTTGTAGGCATTGTTCTCATCCCTTTTCTTTAAAATTTCCCTTACTTGGTATGGTCAGACAAAGGTAGTTACTGTTGTACACATTTGTCAATACACCCCATTATGTATGGTGCACAGAACTGAACGAATGTCCACAAACTCTTGGAAAATTTTTACTTTGTTCCTCCCAGGGTTTCCTTTCGCAAGAAGTGCAATTTAGTTGCCTCAAAGAAGCCTGGGAAAATTGCCTTTCATGAAATCCCAGAAACAAAATTTTGAAATTTCTCCAAAAGACTGAGACAAAAGCTGCCTACCATCAGTAGAATACCAAATTTCCCCCACCCCCACCCCACCACCAACACCCCAAACCACCAGTCCATTTCCCCTACCTGTCAGATCTACGTTGTCTCTTGATCAAGTCGGTCTGCTCGGTCATCAACAACAGCTGCTGAGTGGTGAGTTTCTCTAGCTGAACCTTGAGATCGTAGACTTGCTGGATGTTGTCCTCAGACCGGGCCGCTGCTATGCTGGCTTTGATGTCGCTCTGTTTCTGCACGATGCTGTTCAGGTTGATCAGGATCTCGTTCATCCGTTCCTTTTGGGAAGAGACAGAGAAATGTCAGTTGAGGGGATAATTTGAGTAAATTCAGGCTTTGACCACACAGGGACTTGAAAAATCTCTGGACTACTTTCCCAGCAGTCAACGAAACTCAGTGTTGTAGTCAAGGTATTAGTGATTCACAAGTCATCACAAGTCAACACAAGTCAATCACAAGTCAATCACAAGTCAATCACAAGTCATCGCAAGTTATCACAAGTCATCACAAGTCATCACAAGTCATCACAAGTCAACACAAGTCATCACAAGTTATCACAAGTCATCACAAGTCATCACAAGTCATCAAATCATCACAAGTTATCACAAGTCATCACAAGTCATCACAAGTCATCACAAGTCATTCACAATTCATCCAGTCCCAAGTCAACTCACAAAACTATTCAAATGAACTGTGACGAAATCATTCCTTTGCCAGTATTCATTCCCTTTTACATGTTACTGGCCTTGTGAGATGACTTGTGATTTACTTACGGCCACAATACATGTACTGGTGTACTTTTGATCCAACACAAGTACCTCGAATACAACACTGACAATGTCTGAAACCTTTTCATTCTGTTTAACGTTGAATACATTGACATTTTCAAAGCTTGCCAAAAGAGAGCTGGATAACTCTGTTGGTAAATTGTTGTCAATCCTTTTTACCTCTCTCCTAAGCTTAAGAATCTCTGCTTGAACAGTCCGTGGGTTTGGCGTGGTCACTTCGGAGTAACTGCTCGTCCCGGATTCAACTTTGACTTTCTTGGCTCTGTGTCCGCCTCTGTCGTCACTTTTACTGACCTTGATTGACCTGATAACAGTGATTCAAATGAAATTGGCATTTCTGGATTAGGTTTGATGCGATATGATTATGATACAATTTGTTGTTGGGAGTGAGCAAGCTAATTCTAAAACTGAACCAGGCTTGCAATTTCAAGCATTCTTCAAAATCATTCTTTGATGGGAATAGCATCACAATTTACTCATTTGAAGTGATTCTCATAAAAAAAAGCTATCTACCGTTGTTCTCACTCTATGGTTTACCTGAAATAATTTTCCTTGTGCCCTGTTGGTGGCAGCAGCATAACCAGGGTTGGCACCATAGGGGGGTGAGTGGGGGTGGGAGGATGGATGTTACAGTGGGAGGGGCGCGCAAATTTATGTTGAACCTGTTAACCATGGTGACTTATATGTAGAGGACTAACAAATTTCTAATGGGGGGGGGGGGAGAGGGCGACTGGGGTGACAATTTTTTTATGGGGGGCATACGCCCCCCACGGCCCCCTTGGTTTAATACGCCGCTGGTTGATGAGCCCAAACAATTTGATAGATATTTCAATAGGCCAAACAGAAGATTAACTTTTTTGTTTTTAGCTGTTCAGCTCTGATAGATCAATCAGGATGCCTAAGAAAACCAGCAGGGATTAGGGTTAACATTAATATCTATTTCCTCATTTTAACAACTGATCTATGAACCAACCTGGAGTGTCCGTGCTTGAACTGGTACCCACTCTCTCGCACCACCTGCCTGGCAAGAGGAAACAGCCTATCTCTCTGCACAAGAAGGTAGGGATCCAGGCAGCACAGCTGGATGGCAGCCTCATTCACTGAGATCTTAACAAAATTGGACATCAAGTGTGTTAATGCTAATTCAATTGGCTTTCTTGAAAGGAATTTGGTCACATTGTCTCAAGTCGAGTAGCTCTCGTAGCGTTAAATAGACATTTGTAAGGAAACTTTACTGAATCCTCTGAAATTTGAGACACAAAAAAAGAATCTTATGCTCTGTAGAATGGAAAAAAGTAAGTGGCCCAATTTCAACCCTTCACCGTTTTGATATTTTATCATGAAAATGGGACAAGACCTGAACACACACCTCATGTGCCGTGAGAGGTTTATCGTCTTTGCGTTTGGAGTCAAAGCGTCCGTAGATGGGTGCCCACTTCTGTATCTCCTGCAGGCGTTGAGGATGGTCCAGGGACATCTCCAAGATGTGCTGAACGCTGTTGAGGAGCTTCCTGTTCTGGCTGGTCTGGGTGATCAGGGAGGGTTTTTGAGAACCCATGATGCGTTGGGCCACTGTTCTCAATGTCTGCGGGTCCGTGCATTCCTCATTGTCAGAGGCTGCTCCCTTACTGTTGCTTTGGCTAGTCCTGCCCTGTTGCAGGGTTTGACTGGCAGGTTGCGACACGCCGTGAGCGTAAGGTGGAGCCTGTCCAGATGATTCACTGGGGCTTGAGTGGTGCTGGTCAGCATTCCACTGACCGGAGGTGGACGAATGACCAGCCCCCCATTGTGATCCCACAGTCCCCACACTCTGGTTCTGGGGGTGCAGACCCACCAGTGCCGAGGCATACGGCATGTTATTTAGCTGTGGCTGCGACTGAGTGGCAGCCTGTGCCTGACTATGAAGGTAAGGCACGTTGTTCTCCTTAGCCCACTCCTGCAGCGATTTCTGCAGACGTCGGATGTGTAGCGGCTTGCTTGACATGCCAACCAGGGCTAGGATCTCCATGAACTCCTCATTGGAGGCTTCGCAGAGCTGGGTGACGTCGTCCCCACCCTGCTGGATGAAATTGTTGAAGTAACCTAAGAGGTTGGCTCGTTCCAGGACCTGGTAAAGCTGATACTCGCTAGGGTTGCTGGGATTGATGGGGGTGGTGTTGGTAGGATGGGCCGCCATTCCAGACATCCTATGAATACAAACACAAAATCAACACTAATGTTTAAACTGAATTGAGGCTAAATCAGACTTAATGACACTAAAATTTCAATCTCATGGCTTGATAAAGTAACACAGCACTGATTTGAAAAAAAAATCAGATGAAAAAGAAATACATTGTTATAAAAAAAATGTAGGCCAAAAGGAAATTCAATCAATTAATTTATTAAAAATTGAAACCTCCAACTTGCTATATAAATTTAAAGGGCTAAAAAAAAGCTTTATAATATTGATATAAAGAATCCATACTCAGATTACTTTTCACATAAAATGGCTAAAAATGGGGAGATTTTCTTCCTCAATTATAAACGCCACACGAAAAAGACATTGTCTTCACAATGACAAAAGTTTTAAGTAGCCCAAGTTATTCAAAGCACATGCAAATCAGCCTTTTTAACGGCTCTTCATAAATTTATGCATCATGCATGCATGACGTCAGATTCACAACAGAACTGCCGCGGCTGCGTTTGGATCAACGTCCCACCATGTACTGACCAAAACATCGTCCATTTTCTACCATTTTACTTGCGAAATCTGCCCCAAAAATCATTTGTGAGAGCAATCAGATAATATAGATTCTTGTGATGTCGAAACATTTTTGGAAATGCAAGAAAAACTTACGCAATTCAAACCTAATTCAGCCTGTGTTTACCGCCGTCGCAAACTCGTAGCGTGACTATGTCATCGGCATTGACGGACTCGGCACACGGAGCGCAATCACCCACACACACGGGGCACAGTGTCTATCTCTCCGTATGGTACGACCGTACACGCCAGACAAAAGCAATGGCTGGGGGTCGTAAATTCTCTCCCAGAAAACCTCTTAAAACTCCGATTTTCCGACCGTTTCTGAGCGCTGAAACACCATCATTCTCGTCTAGATGAAATGCGGAATTGCTGCCGACGTCTGGATGGAGTTTTGTGAAGTTTGGAAGCGATTTACTTTGGTGTTTTTGAAGGATCAAGTGTCAATTTGTGCATTAGAATAAAAATTCAACGAGCGGTTTTCCCCTACCCACGCTTTTGTCACGTCCGGCTCGGTGTTTGTCAGGCTTGCTGGCCGCGTTTACGTCACATGGGTGGGGCGTGCTTTCCCGTCACCCCTTGTTGTGATTGGACGACGGTGGCCGGCCTGACCCGAACCATGGGGGGATTTGCGTGGGATTATGTCGCGCGGGCCGGGACTGTGGTGGAATATTATACACAAAACTGCCGTCGGGTAAGACTAAGATGCATTGACACATGCCTTGTGAAGTTTCAGGGGCAGATTATCTTTGGTTTAAAGCGGGGGGGGGGGGGGGAGTCAAAGGGGAGGGGGGATTCGTGCTATTTTGACTTTCCTGTTTTGCAGACCCCCTCCCCCCTCCCCCCCCCCCTGATCATCTACTGTTTGGTGTTCAAATGAGTTGGTGGAGTAACCATTTGCAATGTAGTGGTCCCTAGACAAGAACAAAAAGTGCCTCTAATCAAGGACTTGAAGAATAAATTTTCGTTCCTAATTTGTTCATTATATCTTCATGGCTATAATTTAAGCGGAGATAGGGTGAGTACAAATAAATAATCCCCTATTTCATAATAAACACGAAACTTGGCGTCCCATCTCTTTCCCCTCAGAAATTGCAAAAGAAACACGAACTGTTGCCCCTCCAGAGAGCGAACCAAAGTGCCCAGCCAGCCACCCATGCAGGCTCCCCTTAAAGGGAATATACAACATTTGCAAACATCGAAAAATAAAACTACCAAGTTTTTACGAAATACCTTACTAGGATGTTGGTAAATGACAGTCTCAAGCATCTTGTAAAATTATGGCACCTGGTGTGAAGTCATTTTCAAGAAAATTGTATTTTTGTATACATTTCCAACGGTGGTCGGCCGACCAGCGTTGGAAAAACCTAACTATTTTTCAACTACTGCTCCAAATTTACCATTTTTCAGTCCAAATTTTGTTTGCTATTGATTACGTGTTCATGAACGGGTGCAGGCCAGCTAGACTGGTTCCCTTGCCTTACAATTTTCCATCATCTATACATTGATCCATTTTATCTTTTGTGGAGTCAGGGAACCAGACTACTTGAACATTTTTGTTTTTCTTGGTTTTATCAACCTTTTCGTACACAAAACTTCAAAAATGTCAGTGTAACAATATTTGATCTATTATACTAACCCCTCAAATAGTTCATTTCTGAAAATTACAGCAAAAGCAAATGATGTACATTCCCTTTAAATAAAGGACCCTTACGCCACTGCATACAGTCAGAAAACATCCGAGATTGGTTCTGGCCAAAATGTTGATTCAGTTTCTCACAACTTTACAAAAATAAGACTCGGAACGCTTGAAACAAGCAGCAGACACAGAACTGTCATATTTTAAAGCAAGCTTTTAATAATCAGCAATGCAAGCCTTCTACTGCATCTACGCAATTCTACTGCATTTTAATAAATCAAAAGTTTGTCTAAATGCTAATAATAAAATGGAAATAATCAATTTGGATTGAATATTTTGATTACGGCCCAATAAAATAACGGTTTGTTTATCATCCACTTCTGCATAGAACGACTGTTAACCGCCTCCTACGATATTCAGCAAAATGGTTGCATTTATAAACTGATGAAAGTTTAGCGGATTGGATGAGAAACAAACAGTATATTTTACGTGGCCAGTGTGGTCATACAGCTTGGATACAGGCAACAAAAAGAGTATTATGTGCTTATCCAATGAAAGAGGAACAAAAGAATAAAAGTAAACAATTAATGAAAATTGTTTAGTAATAAAAGTCAAATTGATAAATGCTTCAGATAGCCCTCCATTTTCGTTGGTTTTGATGAATGATCAATTTCTTACAAAATAGCCACATTTCAAAGGTCAGTGAATGGGAAAATCAATTATAACTGTCGAACTAATTCAAGGACCATGTTATGCTTTCCCCTTTGATTTCCAAACAGAAATCACAGCCAGAATTCAGTCTGAGATGTGATTCCTTATTATGTTTTGCCCTTCCTGTCACAAACACAAAGACATTAAATACCAAAGACATAATATAGTATATTATTAATCGAGAATTGATACAATCAAAATAAAGGCCACAACATTTGTAAATTTATGCAAGTATGTTTAATATTGGAATATTCGACATTTTAATTCTACTTATACTGCCGGGTAACATTTGTTGTATACTTGGTGAGTCAAAAGAAAGTGACCCGGATTATTGATTGTTTTCCTTAAAAATCCAGTAAATTTGACACACCAAACAAAGTAAATTTTAAACGAGCATGTCCTTCCCCCCATTGAGAAAAAAAATAATTTCTGAAATTGATCCATGCTATTAGAAGTTATGCGTATTTTACTCAAAGAACCCATTTGGAATGCTATTTTAGGCTATTGAGCTGAGTGAGAACCAGCAATTACACACAGGCATTCAAATACAAATGGTTTTTTGTATGATTTTTGTCAAGACTGAAACATAATGCTTACTGTCAGACTTTGTGTTTTGAAAGTGAGAAAATATTTTTCTGAAATAATGATGGTGATTTGTGTCTGTTTCCCGTCAAACATTTTCGTTCGTTCATGAAGGCAGAAAAACGCCCTCGTTTCACTGTATGTGAACTTTAAGTGATCAATGGTGGACAGCTGATTGTTGTGATGTTTGCATTAAAATAGACATAACTTGTGAACATAGTAAATTACGTGAAATTGTCATGAAGTCAATAAAATGAACTTTATCCCATATTATTTTTTATTGAAATGGAGCGAGCCACATATTTATTAAACTATTTTTTTTTCATTATTGGTCACTTTCTTTTTGTCTCACCCCGTACCTTATAAGCTTACGTGCTTTAACCATACGGGTACAATTTAACTATAACGCTAACAAATGTAACAATATTCTGAACATTCGTGTTATAACGTGAAGTCCAAAAAACGCATTAAATTAAACTACAGCAAGTATATGTTTTGATTGAGAAATATATTCTAATTATATTTCACCCAGCAATTGGAAATAACATAAGAAATACACGATAACAAGAGCGAGTGCTCGTTAGAATACTTTCTGTTGAAATATTATGTACTTTGCATGGTTGACTTATTCAGTCAGACAAATATTTTCCCCGTACACTTTTGTATTTCTTTGTCGAAAACCAAAGGCACTCGATTGAATATTTTAATAGTGTCCTATGAAATGTGGACTCTATGCAATCTAATCGCGACCAGTCACGTTTCAATTATTTTGACTTAGGTGTGAGCAATGCAAACAAAGAGTCCGTCTTTCATAGAGTCCAAATTTCACACTTCATTTGTACAACGGTATACTATTATAAATCCTCAGACTTATTGTGATAACTATTCCAAGAGCACTGACGTCTGGGTATAAAACCATGTAAACCACTAGTACGCATAATATTAAAAAGCTATAGTAATTCGAATTGGCAGATTACTTTCTTATTCAAAAGCAAGCATCAGCCTGCATTTATTTAACTACTGTAAAGCGACGACGTATCCTATTGCATCTAAACAGTCAAATCTGGTCATGATAAATTCTAGCCTCAAGTTATCATTCGAAATGTGCATTTTGAATACAATGAAATATTTTGCTTTATCGTCCTTTTGTGCACATAGGATAAAACCGCAAGTTTTAAGAAATTGTGAAAGGTTTTGGTTTCATTAATGCTTGGTGTTACATACAGGGCATATACCTACATTGAGTAAAAGATATGGGGAAATTGTTTTGTGCATCTACTTTTTCGTTATTGGAATGTTCTCGATATTTATTTTCTCATGCATTATGCTTAAACCGTCTACATTTCGAAACCAAAACACTTTTCTTTGCATATTTTTCAAATGTTTCGTTTTGGAATGTTCTTGCTAAAGTAATCATTCCGAAATGAGGATTATAATAATAAACACTTCTCCATCAACATATTTTTTTTTCTCATGCATTATGCTAGATTTCGAAATCAAAAAATTATGTTGCATCTTCTACAGCTCCAACAATCACAAACGTCTGAGAGTACACATTAATAGTAGGCATTATTATGAAGCTATTATAATTCTAACAGTCACACATCAATATTGACAACAGTTTCTAGTATCTGACTCCGAATATATATCTTTCACCATGATGTTACCATTTAAGGATTTACATTTTATACGATCCTCACAATTGAAAAAACTCAACATGAATTATTAATTTGAAAAAAAAAAATATTTCTAAACGTACTATCGATAAAAATGTAATTGTATCAACACAATCAAAAGCTAACTACAAACAAAACACAATTATTAAAGATTTAAATTTATGCAAACATGCTTGAAAAAAAATAGGAATATTCGACATATTGTATACGTTAGAGCGCTTATAGAATTTTTATTATCATTATTATTATTTATTTTTGGGCATCTACTCTTAGTAGCTTCTTGTTATTCTGTTCTGCCTCAAGTAATCATTCCTAAGAAAAGGATAAAATTAACACTTCCCAATTAACTTTTTTTCTCATGAATAATGCTATGTATCGTCTATAGATTTCCAAACCAAAATATGATTTGGATAACAGAAACTTAGTATTAAATCGCAGCAAAGACACACCTAGTATTTGCTTTTCATAAATTTAAATATACTTAACTAAACATTGGGTTATAACAAAAACATTAACAGGTGTAAATTCATGTACCAATATGAATGTTCTATTGCATGGTTACATGGACAATATACCTTCCAATAAACGCCTGTATAATGGTTGCGTACCTACCAAAATGTAACCAACTATATAACATATTCGCGTATACTTGTGATAATATTTTCATCAGCAACAATGAACCACTACAACATCTGGGTATTCAAATTAATATTTGGCATAAATTATAACTATATTATAAATCTAATTGGCGTAAATAGTGACATAGCACTTGACTACACTTTCCATACTATCCTATTCCAAATATTATGTTTCACCATGATGTTCCCGATTTCACGATTGCGGTATTATAAGTTCCTCACAACAATTATAACACTTGACATAAAAAGTCAGCCATACTTCTCAACGTGCTTTCAATAAAAATGTTATTATTCTACATAGCTACACGGATTTAATATTTGGAATCAAAAAATAATCTGCAGACACTTGTTCCTGTCAATATCGGTCGGGTCTTTGCTGGGAATCAATATAATGGAATCAATGTAAGGCGTGGCATTTTAGAAAAACATTCTTCTTATACAATCATGAACTTTTGAGTAGGATTCACACGATTATGCAATTAACAAACATTGAACTTACATATATGTATACGATTACACACATGCACGTATAGTTAACACAGAATAACCGCGTAAATATTTTATGTTAATGTAATATTACATTTCTATTTTAATCTGATCCGAATAGTATCGGCACACGATAAACTACAAGTCATCATAATGACGCTAAGTATACCCACGTTTACTATCGTTAAAATCACACGACCATTTTGTCAATGGGAAAGATGCACTTATCAGTTATGCCGTAAGCAAATCATTAATTGATGCGTGCATCGTGTGCAAAACTTGTTACATTTTGTTTCGCTTCGTAAGAATTGTCCGCAGACCTACCCGAAATTTGACAGGGTTACCTGATAATGGCGAGTTTAAGAAATGCCGAAAAATGTTTTTTATTATATAGATTCAAGAGCAAATTTTGCAATATAAAAAGAACACGATAATATGCAAGGTGCCGTGTGACGTCACAACTCACAAATTACTTCGAGCCTGTGGATGGCCAAATCAACAGAGGTTTTTATTTTTGGTCGATTGAGATGGAGCAGAAAACCGTTGCTGACTGCGCGTTAACTGAGACGTCATTATGACAAAAGGAAGTCAAAGTCGGATAAAAGACACCGGTTTTGTAAGAATGTAAATAATATCAACGTTTTTCTTATCAAGTCTGTCATCTTTGGAAAAACAAAACAAGGCGAGCCTACCGGTAAAGCTGGTCCCAGAGCGTACACAATTCTATTAAAGCGATTTAGAATGGCTAAAAAAAGTTTGCAGAAAAAGCTGTAGGGGTAACGTGGAAATGAATTATCACTTTCGCGTGGAGGCTTGACTTATCGCTTTGACTTGTTTATCATGAAAGTATACAGGGAATAAACGGTGCCAGACTAATGCAAATTATAGATGCATGATATGCAGACCAATGACCAATTATTCAAGAACGTGTCTAAAACGGACAGATCAATTAAACAGGAACAAAGCAGTTAAACGCTGTTCTTTTTCATTTGATAGTGTATCTAAGGGATTGATCCAATAGTCACATATGACGAGCTTGGACAAGGGCTTTCATCTTTAGTCGAGACTATCTTTCTTATTTCTCGACCGATAGTATAGCGGCATGATGTGGCTACCAAGTTAGTAACCACGATTCACCCACTGCATGCATGCAGCTAAGAACAGACACGCACGGCAGAAGGCCAAGCCTGCAAGTAGGCAGAGGGCCAATTGCATGCACGCCAGCAAAGAAGAGGCACATGAAGCTGCAGTGCTAGTCATTTATATTGGCAATTATAACTTTGGTTGAAATGTTGCCAGTAATTGTGGTCTGTAAAATTGTTGAGAACATGACCAACGGATGGAAATTCAAAGCAATTTGGCCTGTATGAACTTCTGCGGTGTAATATTCCCGGGATTAGAAGATTGCTAATATAATTACATTGATGACGTCCAAAACCTTACCAAATAATTCGGTTTCTTGTCTTTTTCGGCAGACTCAAGCAAGGGGTGGTAATTTTCACCCTTGACCTTGTCCATGATTTCTGCCTCTTTCCTAATTCCGTGCAACACATCTACTCTGGTTTGCCAACCTTTCTTGTGACTGCTTTTCTCAATTTCAATCAGGACGTCCACATACTCTGGAGTGCTCAGTGGGTTTGGTTTCAGCGCAATTTCCTCTAGACGCATGATACTTTGACGCGTGTCAGACACTAAATTGCAGACACAAGCGCGGACCGCTTCTACTTCTTTGACTTGATTTTGAATCACCTGTTCTACTGCCATCTTCTTTCCTGGTGCATCTTTGTATCTTGCCTCTATCTCCTCGTAGGTTCTCTGTTCTTTCTCAGTATGGAACTCAAAAATGTAAGGCTGATTCAAATGCACATCCCATGCACATTTTGCAGGACACACGGTACATTCTCCATCTTTTATAGCCAAGCAACCCACCTTCTTTGCGTTGTCAGTAATAGCACATGGGTAGTGGCAGGTGAAGTGACACTTGCTGCAGTTGGTTATGAATTCTCCTCCAGTTATCTGAACCATCTTGGACTTTGGAACTTCAAGTTCGAACTTGAAGTCTTTGTTTGCCTCGATCTCTATCTCGTGTTGCTGCAGAAGCTTACGTTCCCTCTGTAGCTCCTCAAGCTTGCAAATTCCAAGATTAATTTGACGTTGGAGACCCTGTACCATCACCTCCAAACGTTTTCGTTCTTCGAGTACTTCCTTCGTCAGGACAAGACTTCGAGGTTCCAGGGTCTGGATTTCCAGAAGGAAGTCTGTCATGTTTTCATTACCCATTTTCCAGAACATGTCGACCATTTTACCTTTTGCTGCTTTATCGGCTTTTTTTTCGGAACCCTTGCGATCCGTGTCATATCCCACAAATAGTGCAGAGTTGTTGAACTTGAATGCACTCTTAGTGTCTATATGAGGGATATCTGCTTCCTCGACTGCATCCAAAACAGGTGGTTCGCTCTGGTCTGCGAACGTCACCAGAAGGCGACTATAGTCCGATAAACCCTCCCCAAACACAGACAAAACAGAATCGAACACGTACTTCTGGGTCTGGGTCAACCGAGAATCGGACGCCCTAACGACGAACCCGATGGCGTCAATGTGATCAATACCGTGGGACTCGGAATTCAGGAAGAATCCACGGATCTGGTCAATGATCGCCTTGTCTCGTTCGATGCCACGCGTATCCCCAAAGCCTGGAGTGTCTATTATAGTCAGAGTGTAGGGCAAGCTGAGATACTTGTTGCGGTAGAAGGTGTAGGATGTGAGGACCTGAGTCTGGCTGTGAGCTTGAGAAGACAATCTCGCCTCGTCCTCATTGATCATCTTGAAGCGGAAGTCATCCTTTTGCTGAACATCTAAGATGTGGTTTGCCATCGCATCGATGAGTGTACTCTTGCCCGAGCCAGTTACACCAACCACCATGATCACTTTGTGCTCGACACCCTGTATTTTTGGTGGCTCGCCGAAGCTGAAACTTTGGCAGTAGGGTCTGCGGCACACTTCTTCAAGTGGGAATTTCAAGATGCACGGTTTTCCGTTCTTTTTATTTCCGGGTTGCAATGTTTTGGCGTTGACTTTTATTTCATGCTTCAGAATTTTTTTGGTAGTGAATGAGACAACTTTGCTATTTTCGCCAAATTTGTCCTTCTCACCACAGACGGCAGTCACCCAGATTTTGATCTTGGTTTTAAATGTTGCGTCGTTGATGGTAGAAGTGAAAGAATCGTCGCTGGTATTAACTTCCTTCTGTTCGACATAGTTGGTAACACCGACAATCTGATAATCGACCCGATAGTGTTTGATGGCTTTTTGTTGGCTGATTAATGTAGGCTTCGACCAAGAGACCTTGATATCTGTCGCTGATGTCTGTTCAACTGTCACGTCAGTCGGTGGGCCAGCCGGAAGCGTCGTAAATGGAACACTGGGTTCACTCTGTGTAGTGTAGTCATCCTCAAGCACCAGTACGACACGAGATATGTACGTCCTGTTCGGCAGTAGACCAGACAGCTTATATTCGTTGCGTAGACTGTAGGTCAGTACATGTAACCACTTCCATTCTGGTATCTGGCTTTGCTGTTCTTCAACCTCAGCGTATTTTATGAAATATTCCTTGAGCTTCACTCCTGGACCTATTTTGGTAGGGCCTGTCCACTTCATGTTGACACTTGATGCTGTAACATCGCCCAGCTCCGGTTTGCCTGGTTGACTGACAGGAAACGTAGCGCAAATATCGCTGTTCACACTGGGAAGACTATACACCCAAGATTCATAAATGGCAACCACCTGAAACACGTAGGATTCGTTGGTTTCAAGCTTGCGTACGGTAAACCTTCCTTCCGAAGATCCAGTCCCTACTTCTGGTTGCCAATTTGGCACTGCCCCGTTTACAACCTTCCCATAATGAACGATATAACTTCTGATGGTGACATGTTTCCCTGACTGAGCTGGATGTTCCCACTCAAGAGCGATGCTGGATGCTGAAGTAGGACGTGCGTGTGGCTTCCCTGGAGGGCTGGCCGGTAGAGTCGTCACCCTGTCACTGCTCTCACTGTCTGGACTGACGCCTACAGAACAGACTGCTGTGATCCAGCATTGTAAATCTTCATCGGGTTCGAGATTCTTAACTGTGCAGCGAGTGTCTGTGCAAACTTTATCCAAGATATCACCAGATTGGTTCTTCCCACGAAACCTCTTGTATTTGACGATGTACCACTGTACACCGTCCACGCCTTTATCTGGCGGAGACCATGAGACATTGACAGTATTATGATCGATGACCTCACACTGAGGCTTTCCCGGTTGGCTTGGTGGCTCGAAGTCTTCTTGAGCAAGTGTACCATGTCTGTACAATAAGACTGTGCCACCAACTTTACCCTCTTCTTCGGCTGATGAGCCAATATCAAACCCAGTCACGATGAACGTGCATGTTGACTGACGGTTACTGCGAAAAAAGCTGGCAAACAGTTTCGTCTTGGTTCTCAACAACCTCATCAGAGAACCATCATCATACCATTGGTAAAAGCTACAGTTGCTTTTCACTCCCTCGGCGAGGAACTGAGACAGGGACCTCAGATATCCTTCCTCTTTCCCTGCCAATCGAAAGGTTAGGCATACAACATTATCTTTGCTTGGGTTCATCACGATGTTTTCCAATCTTTCTTTCGACTTAACAATCTCTATGTCATTCAGAATCTTGACGTGTGAACTCACGGCACTCAACTCTTTGCGCTTACTTTTTAGCCAGGCATCAAGTTCGGCCAGTTTGAAGGGAGTCCCAGTTGCCGCGTTCTGCAGCATTTCTTTCAGGTCACTCTCCCCTTTGCTACCTCCCTGGATTAATGGGAACTCGTGCGCAAAGTCTCTCTGGAAACGCGTTTTAAAGTCGCCAAGCATTCGTTTGAAAAATGAGAACTTATCGGCAAACTGTGGGAAATCTACGCACAGCGGATCAGCTGCCATTTCGCTGACACGCGTGGAACAACGCTCTAAACCCTCCAAAAACTCTTGCACCCGAGAAAGAAGGCCATCGCTCATAACCCTGTATACCCTGGCTGCTCTTGAATCGATCTTGTGCAATGGATACAAAAAGAACTTTACCGGAACTGCTTTTTTTTTAATCATATCAGGTATTTCTATAAGTAACTCAGAAGCAGCATAGTCAGAATGGTGGCCCTCTACATCTAAATCACAGTGAACCTTGCATTCTACATCGCTTGCTGACTTAGGGTCAAACGCGAATGACTCTTCCCCCTCTTCTGGGCAGGATCTGAAATTAGTCACCAAGGCATTTAGTGACTTCAGACAATCATCTTCTGTGCTTTCCCCACAAGTTTTGTCGAAGACAAAGAAAGTGTTGGACCCATACAAAATCCCCACCACTACGTGAGTGGCCTTACCTTCTGTGATCACCTCTAAATTCAGAATTTTGCAACTACCCAGTTGATTGTGTGGCAGTTCTTCGATCACGCTCGTGGCTTTAGAGTACACAGAAAGGCGACACGTGCCTTCTGGCGGCGGCTGATCAGTCAGAAACTTAGCCGAGCCTGCCGGTTGCACTAAATCAGCCAGAATGCTTGCTTTCAGAGACTCGTCTACCTCGAGAGCTTTGAATTTGTCGTTGAAGGTATGGGACTTCACCAGGGTCACTTCGTGACTTTTCTTTTCACTGACCTTCTTCTGTTTTGATATGGTCTCTTGGTCCCAAAGGGTGGCACCAGGCGAGATGATTTTTTGACTACGGCAATCATACTGGGTACCGAGGCACATCCGTCTGCCGAGGGCTGGGAGCTCCAGCGTACCCTCCATCGGGACTATGAGTCCAAACACTCTTCGCCAGCCAACCAGTGATGCCTGTAATTAAAAACGTCTTAACATGAGCACCTATTACCGATATAGCATCTTGTTTTGCTTAGAAGAATGTCAAACAATAATTGTCCCACTTATCGACTTAATGTCAGAGTCAACCTTAAAAGGATAAAAGCGACCGATAAGATTAATTGAGTGGTCGGGCACAACCCGGGCACTCTCTGTTATTGTTCTGATAAATCTTTCTTTTTATCCACAACCCGGGCACTCTCTGTTATTGTTCTGATAAATCTTTCTTTTTATCCGGACAATACTTCTCCGCGGGTTTTCTCCTAAACGGTATATGGTATGAACTTGTAACTTTCAACATATATCGACCTTAATCCCTAATGGTGCATATTACTCTGACGTAATGATGACGCCATCAGGTGTCAAATTACAAGCGATTTTTGTTGAAAAAAATGACGATACTATTTTACCTATAACTCTTGAACAAAATGTTCAATTATTTTCCAACCCTGTAGTCATATAAACCATTATTTGATAAACATTTCAGGTTGCGTACGTGAACTCGCTTGACCTTTACTTCCGGGTCTACTGGAAGGTCAAAGTAGGTCAATTCGAAACGAAGACTTAAGCCTGAAATCAAAACAAAGCATAATTTCTTCCAAATGGTTTAAGGTATGATCATAAAACCTAGTGTGAACTCGTACCATGTTACCATTATGGATATATAATGGTATAAATTATGAAAGTGTTTAGTGAGGAATGCCAGACAAAAACGCAGTGTGATGACGTCATCTTTCGAAAGGGCTTCCCCGAACGACACATAAAACAGTGTTTGCTTTCTTTAAGTTGAAAACCATCCATTCAAATTTTATCAAAATCGCCCCTTGATGTCTTTAAATAACCACAAATAACTTGGCAAGGTTTCAAATTCATGACGTTATCGGACCGGAAGTTACTGCTATGAGAATTTTAAAACAACCCGCATTTTAAGTTTATTTTATACAATTCGATCCATGTCGAATATCTTCGTAGCCCAAATAACGATATCCATTACAATGTTCACTTTTTGCATGCTTTCAAATACTGTGACGTTATCAAACCGGAAGTTAGATGTTATGAATACATACACTTACATTTTTCATATTTTCATACATTATTTAACTTCCACACAATGAACATGTATCCACTCCGAACTAAATCCGTATTCACTTCCCGTTTTTGAATAATTACGTCATCAAGCCAGAAATAACTTAAATGTGTACATAGAATGTTTACTGAATTTTATCACAAAATAAGTGATTGTACTGTAAAGGATTTAACTTTTGATCCTTTGTTCTTACATAAAAATATTCATAACTTAACTCGGCAGTGTTTAATGAAAACAAATGCCTGCCCGAACACTCTGCGTTTGTAAAAACAAACGCGAACCTCTAGTTTAAAATTAGTATTCATTTCGTGCAAAGTTTAAAAAGTTTTATTTGTATTTACTCATTTACGGCACGTTTTATCATTGATATTATGATATTCTTACCCACGAAAGACAATCTTTATCCGATGTTAAGAGTCCTCCACTGCCAAAGACTGGAAGAATCGAAGCCAAATTATCTGGGGAAAATATCCATGAAGGGCGCGGCTGAGTGTTTTTGTTTAACTTTCCACATAAAATTCCACCATTGAACTTCAATGGACCATAAAAATGAAACCCAAGCCGACATTTTGTGCTTAACATTATTATACCTCTGCGTGGACTTCAAGAAAATCAGGGATTATGTTACATTTATTTTTTCTTTTAACTTCAGAGCAGTTTTAGCACATTAATTGAAAGACATGTAGGATAATGTAAGCATTTTGTCCGCTTCCAAAAATAACATTACAATGCCATGAGTTTGATCCAAGTATGTTTTTGAATTTGAAACAGGCTACTTTTGGGAAAAATGTAAACGCCTCTCTGTCTGAGATAAGTAACGAAAAATGATTGCAATTGTGTGCCAAACTACGGAAGCCCGTTCGTGCCAGGTTTTAAAAGTGAAAAAAAAATATTGCGAAATAACACAATAGGTTTGCGAAATCATGACGCAATAGTATTGCGAAATAACGCAATAGCATTGCGATTTATTAAATCGCGGATCCAGGGGTGGGCCGCGGGGGCACGTGCCCCCCGTCTAATTGACTCCACACAAAAAAGGGGGAAAAGAAAGGAAAAAAGAGGGAGGAGAGCGAAAAGAGGGGAAGGAGGAGGCAACCTCCTAACAAAAATACCGGCGCCGATATTAAACATCAGCCTGCAAACATTGCGTAGTGGCAGTATGACAGCGAGCTCAAGAGTCGATCGAGAAGCTTCGAAATAAACCGCGATCCCACCGTACGTACCCCGTATAACGTAACCCTGCATGTACATGTATGTATACTTATGTACGTACGATGCATTCTCTACGAAAAAGCACGTGCAGCTTTTTGCTGTGTTGCGCCACACAGGGTGTGTTTTCGTAAGAACAATTTGCCATTATTTCCACGCGCTTGTAAATTACAACTTATACTTTTCACGAAGTCCAAAACATTCCATTGTTTTAAAATGTGTTCTTCAACGTCATCATACAATTTTCGTTAAGACTTTATTCGAGAAACGATGTAAAACCCTGAAAAAAAATAAACACCCCTGAAGATATACATGGATCCGTCCATAAAAAGTCTTTTTTTTTTACGAAGAATGGCGCGATCCGTCTGGTTTTGACATTACTACGCGTTGCTGAAAATACAAATCTGATATGTTTGTTACTTAAAAAGGATCTGTTTGTTCTTAGGACAAAAAATCAGCAGTTATATAGCCAAGAGGCAAGTTTTAGCACCCGAGACATGCTCTGGCAATTTAGACGGAGCGCGGTGTGTTGCTTTTTCAAGTGCAAGCGAGCAACTTTGTTATCGGAGTTCGCAGGTGGCGGCTGCGGGCCGGCGCCCGTCCGTGCCGGGTCGGGATATGTATTCACCAATTCCCGATGTCTATTTCTCAACGTCATCATCTTCAATTATTTACTGTATTTTTTTTTACGTAAGGCTAGGTTTACACTATGTTCCAGACGGCCACGGCAATCACGTTTTTGGCCACCGTGGACAAAACGGTATGGACGTGAGACAACGCCGGGGGACGGGATGGGCAAACGTATGCGTGATTGCCGTGGATGCCGGGCCAGATTTTTAAACTGTCAAAAAATCTGCCACGGCAGTCATGGTGCATGTGCATTCCCCGGCATCGGTCCTTTCAAGTTTTGTCACGTTCTGCCGCGTTTAGCGGGCGTTTTGTCACGGTTCCTGCGCGTTTTGTCGCGTTTTGCTTCGTTTCTCACGGTAAGCTAGGGTGTACGGTAGCCGTTTCGTCGCGTTCAATCACGGCGCGCCCAGATGTGTAAAGGTTTACAGGCCAGGTGCGATGTAGCCTTTCACCAACGCCATCGTGGCTTAACTTGCCCGCATTCAAAGCGGCGAACGCGAAGCGACTGGAGATGGAGACCACACATGCGAGTGGCGAAGCCACGAGGGCCTTTTGCAACTTGTCGAGAAATTCTTATGTTTTTCTTTATAATCTCGATTTTTGCTACCCCAAAAGGGTAGCAAAATTCCAACCAATCATCAGCCTTTTCGTGCGTACGTGGCTACCCACCCGGACGCGAACGCGTCGACGCGTCACGTCGGATGCTTGCACAAAATTTAAAAACAAAAAATGCGAGTCTAGTTTTCCACGAGATCGTGACTGCGTAATTGTTATTACATTATCTTATTTTAACTTTACTTATAAAGGTAGTTCAACAAATTATTTGAGGGTATGAACTTTTTTTTCATCTGAACTTACAGTTATTTGCTCTTACGGTTTCCTTACTCACCCTTCTTTTAAAAATGGAAGCGACTAGGCAAAATCCGCGTTGTGATTGGTTAACCTTCAGCACGCTTCTTATTTGCATAAAAACTATGAATAATTCAACAAAATCAAGTTGCAAAAGGCCTCGTGGCTTTGCCACTCGTGCGTGCTGACTTAATCTTTGTTCCTGTCGCTTCGGGTCTTCGCAACTCCGCCGCTCTAAGCCACGAAGGCCTGGGCGAAAGGCTAGGTGCGATGCGGCGTTTTGCGTTCTACTACGGTCTGATACGGCGAGCGCGGTCTGGGAGGGAGTATAACAGCATACAATGATTGCTATTGCTTGTGAGGCTTTCTTTTCATACCATGGGCATAAACTTGCTCCGAAGCTGCCCGATGTACACGTTTCATCCGTAGAAGGCCTTGACAGAACGCGAAAAACGTGTCAGACTTTGATTAGAACGTGAGGAACGTGAGGGATCCCAGAGGGCCCCATCAGAACGTGACAGGCCGGTACTGGCATTCGTGGAAGACCGCGGGCCGAACCGTAGAGCGCCTTTGAGCCTCCGGGACTCAGCAGCCCCTTCCCCCCACGGCCCATCACAGATACTGTGATAGACCGTGAGAAAACTTAGCAGGACCTAAAAAAACCTGACTACGGAGAAAAAAAATGCCAAAATCCCACGGCGCACTACGTTTCGGGCAAACGGGGCTGCCGTGACCGCCGGGAACACAGTGTAAACCTAGTCTAACAAAATGACAAAAACCCCTTCACAATGTATCATACCATGTGTGAATTGCAATCATGGCGCCGAAAGGCCCGATGATTATTTACTGTATAGACGAGTCGCATGTATACGAACTACGATGAGTTTATACAATTTGTCTTGCTGCGCCGCCGATCTCCCGATGTCATGTACCTGTACGTGTATACACTAGGCCCTATTCTTGAAATTGAAACTGGTCTGAATTAAAACCAAGAACAGTTCTGTAAAATGTTTGGGCAATTACATTATGCAGGCATGCATGAGATAAGTCATGAGATATGTGAGCTGTGAAGTTACAATGTGCATGGAGGCCTATTTGCTCCTCTGTTTTAGTTTGATTGAATTACACTAATTTTAAACTTGAATTCAATTTACAT